TTGTTATAAAATAGGGATGCATATAAACTTTTACTTAATACTCTTTTCCCATTTACCTGTTCATTACATACCTGAACAAGAACCCTCCTGCACAGACCTCCTTTAACAAGGGATTTTGCTACCCAACGAGCAGCATAAGCAGCTGAGCGGTCCACTTTGGTATAATCCTTTCCTGAAAAGGCCCCTCCTCCATGAGCTCCCCAACCGCCATAAGTATCCACAATGATTTTTCGGCCAGTCAAACCAGCATCACCCTGAAATTATAGGGTTTAAGTCATGTAATCTTTTCTAATAAGTGGTTCTTGACTAGGCTATTAGGAATCATTCAAGATCCTTATGTAGCTAGCAGTAGCCACATGTATAATCCTAGCGCTTTAAGATTAGCTGTATATAGCGATTTAACATCAGGTACATAGTGAATTTGGGGGTAGCATGCGCCATGCAAGACACAGTGTATGTAGGATATGTATGACTGGGGGAGGGGGCAATCAGAAAAAAGATGGGGGCAGCTAAAATTTCCAAGTAACCAACAATAGACAAAACATTTCATAATTTATTACCTGAGGCCCACCAATAACAAATCTGCCACTTGGCTGTAGGTGGTAAATTGTATCCTCATCAAGGTATTTTGCAGGTACAACAGCTTTGATCACTTTCTCCTTTAGAGCATCTCTCATCTCATCAAGACAAACTTCTTCATCATGTTGCACAGATATAACAATTGTATGGACTCTGATAGGAAGCACAGCACCTCGATCTTGCATATACTGCACAGTCACCTTGGATGCAAAATAGATCAGAACACTTGTCTAACCAGCTTTGTTCCCTATCATAAGATTAAATATAGCAAAAGACAAGTATTATCCCCCCTCAGTCAGCTATAATATAAGTAACTTAGGACTTTTAGTGTAATTTGAGATGAACATTAGTTTTAAACCACCACTTACTTGAGTTTTAGAATCTGGGCGCAACCAAGGCAATGTGCCATTGCGGCGTAGTTCAGCCAGTTTGGCATTTAGATTGTGTGCTAAGACAATGGTTAAAGGCATACACTCTTCAGTTTCATCAGTGGCATAACCAAACATCAAACCCTACGAAATAGGAAAAATGAAATGTGAAAGAGAAATCCAAGTTTTAGAATCCAATTTTAAAGGGATGCCAATAAACTATGACAATACCTGGTCTCCTGCACCAATGTCTTCCTCATTCCGGTCAAGATGAACACCTTGGGCAATATCTGGTGACTGTTGTTCCAAGGCCACCAACACATTACAAGTCTTGTAGTCAAACCCTGCAAACAAGAAGGTGTTCCAGTAACTCTCATGTTGTTTTTTAGTGGTAACTCCAAAATGTTAAGTTGTGTTGCTAGCAATTGGAATATGCTTAAAAGTGGCCAATCCAGGTGGCGGTGGTGGCACATGCACACCATTAATCCCAGCACTCGGGAGGCATAGGTAGGCAGATCTGAGTTCCAGGGCTACAAAAAGAAAACCTATCACAGAAAGAAAACAAACAAATGAAAAAAAACAGAACTAAAGGGTAAAGTTAAGAGGAGAAAAAAATACCGATGGCAACAAGATCTACTGTACAATATTTTAATAGACCATATTCAACATAACTCACTTATTGCCCCCCTCTGCATTATGGTTTGAAAGAAGGTCTTTCACTTGGTTGGGCTAACTCCTGCTTGACCTCTGGCCACTCTACTGAGATAAGATATTGCTCTTGCACTAAATCACACACTTTAGAGGACAGAATAGGCTAGATCAGAAAGCTGAGAGGATATGATAAAACTATGCAATCAGTCAAGATTACCAGAAACGTAAGAAGCTTCTCCCATTAGCATCACATTCTACGTTTGCAAAAATGAGTTTATAAAAATTAAATATTTAAAGAATACCTTTGGATGAATCATCATATCCAATGTGCTTAATGGCTTCACGAACCACTTTCTGGTAATCAACAGCAGCTCTGGATGTTATTTCCCCAGCAAGAAGGATCATTCCAGTTTTAGCAACAGTTTCTAATAAAACAGAAATTTATGCCCAAAATATTAGGGTAGGGGTGCCAGCTGGGGAATTCAATCCCTGGGCTTCGTTTTCTACTTCTGAGATAGTGTCTTGCTAAATTGCCAATATGGACATTAACTTGCTACCTCTAGCCTCAACCTCCCAAGTAGCTAGGTGTATCACAAACCACCAGACTTTCCTTTAAATGCCCCCTTTTCCATTCAAGCAAGTATTGTATACCCACCGCAAGCCACTTTGGCATCGGGGTCCTGCTGAAGGTGTGCATCAAGAACAGCATCACTGATTTGATCACAGATCTTATCTGGAAAACAAAAATTCCCCATTCAATTTATCCATTACTATTATCTATCATGTAACTAGCAGTTGATGTTCAACCCAAGGGCCAAGCACAGCTGTGAATTTGTAGATGACAAAAATCTTATGCTGTCAAAAGATTATATATACCTAGCTGCACCAAAAAAAAAAAAAAAAAAAAAAAACCAAAAACCAAATAACACTAATGGTTTCCAATAGTGGAAACTATTGGATTCCAGGTATATTACGCAAACCTATGGCAGTCCTGACTCAGTCTCCAGAATGGTGGATTAAAGTATGCATCACCATTCTAGGCTTAAACAAATAAAAAACAGCATTATCTGTGCATACATGGCTAATACGTGTATGATGGTGTTCATGTAAAAATCAGAAAACATTGAAAGGAGCTGGCTCTCCATTATGTATCCCAGGAACTCTGATCACAACAGCCTTGGCAGCAAGCATTCTTAACCCATTGAGCAAATCTCACTGACCCTACTCACATAATGAAGTGAACAATTCTACTTCATTGCTTTATTATGTTAATAAAAGCACTGCTTTACCAAGATCTATTTGCCAGAATAAAAATTACTGTATACAGGGTCGTATGCTTAAACTTTCAGCCCATTTAACATCTTTAGTCGAGTCAAAGTAGAAATGGTGATCTTGAAATCCCAAAGCCAATCCCAGGAAATAACTTCATAGTATATTTTAAAGATCAATTGTTCTATTTTATCTTCCACTTAAAATAGGTTACAAAATTAACCCACTAAGAGCTAAATAAGCCAACTGTCAGGTTACTAATTTCTTAAAACGTCCATTACCCCTATTAGAAGCACTCAGTTCCTCAAGTTTTAACTAGTACCAAACCTCTGTACTTGGGATGAATAAGCCAAGGTCATATGTAGACCAAGCACTCTGACCTAAAAAAGAACGCTAACCATTTAGAGAAACAAGACTTTTCTTTGTATTCAACCATGAAAATAAATTTTAACTATGAACAACAAGAGGAAAATGGTCCAGGAAACTATCCAAATGCATTATCAATTTGGAAAACACAGTATCCTCGATTGGAATCTGTGTGGTGTTGACAAAGCGTTCCATGTAGACCAGGCTAACCTCAAACCCAATCTCCTGCCTCTACAGTCTAAACGCTGGGGTTACAAAAGTGTGCCACCAAGCTTGGCTCCAATCTCCTGAATTGTTACTACTTTCTCCCTAAATGTGTATTCCAGTCATAGCACCTAAGACCTTATCTAGCAATTGTAATAATGAGCGACCCAATCGATGTGGAGGCACCCCTATCCTTGAGGGAAAACACACCACAGCAACACTTGGATTTCATTTGTCACTCAAGGTCCTACTGGGTTTGTTCTCTATCATTTAATTAGGCCACTAACTAAAAGCAGATCCTTCCATCAAGGATGTTGCTGTGAACTCCTTTAACAGAAGAGCTCAAATGACATCCCAAAGTTCCGGAAAATAGCTTCATTCTAACTCATCTCAACATGGCCGTCCAGTGGACAAAGCCAAAAGAAACGTGACTTTTTTTTTTCAAGACAGGGTTTCTCTACAGCTTTGGAGTCTGTCCCGGAACTAGCTCTTGTAGACCAGGCTGGCCTCGAACTCAAAGATCGGCCTGCGCCACCACCGCCCGGCAATAAATCCTCCTTTAATCGTTGGAAAGCGCCAAAGGGAAGACTTTAAAAGGAAACCTAATGCCATGGGGGTTTGCACTTAATTCATGCTCCTCGTCCTTTTCACGCAGCCTCCAAATAAGGGATGTCCTCTCTAACTCGCGCTATATTTAGTCGGCGGTTGCCTGTCACCTTGGAGGCCTAAGGACATGTCCAACCACACTCGTGCGCATTTTCAGTGACCGGAAGTCGTGGATAATGGAGATAGCACGTTTGGAGACACCAGCCTCCACTTCTAGCCCAGGGGCTCGGGCAGCGAGCGGCCGGCAGCTCTGCTTCGCCCCGATGCCACATGCGGTGAACACGTGGTTGCCGCTGCAATGCGGGGCGCGCGCTCCCGACGGCCGGACGCGAGCACGCGGGGCGGGGTCGCCCACTTGAGATTTTTCCAGACGACGGGACTAAAGAGGAGGAAACAGGGCCCTCCCCGCGCCGGTCGCTGGCCCCCGCCCTTCTCGTTTTCTGGAACCTTCCGCGTGCCGGGGCGCGCCGCCGGATGGGGATGAGAGAAAGGGGGGGAGGGGAGCGGCGGCCGCACACTGCAACCTCCGGGAGCCACACGAGGGCGGCGCGCGGCCGCCGCTGTTCTCACCGAGCCGGACGGCCTCGACCCCCAGCGCCACCGCCCCGTCCTCCCGAGTCCCCCGTCCCTCACCTGGGTGACCTTCCCCCACAGACTCCGAGGTGAAGAGGAACGTCCCCTCCTCAATGAACGCCTCGTGGAAGCCGTTGAGCTGACCGTTCATGGCGGCGGCGGTGAAAGGACGCGACTCGGAGGGCACGGAGCGGCGGCGAGGCAGGGAGCTGCAAAGCGCGCAGACCAAGGCTTGCTACTGCTCGGGGCGGGATGGCGACTCAGAACGAACGGAACGGCCCCGTATTTATAGAGCAGCGCCCGCGCGCGCCCGGCTCAGGCCCCGCCCCTCGGCGTCGCGCGCCAATGCGCCACCGGCGGGCGGAGGGGAGGGGTTGGCGGGATGGGGCGCCCCGCTGGGCGCGGGCGAGGCCATTCTGCCGACGGGGGGGAGAGCGGAGTCAACGGCGCCTCCTGCCAGGAGTTCGTCCTCTTAGCGGCGTGAGGTAAATGGTGATGTGAGTCCCTGAGCAGGCCGGGCTTTTAGTCCCTCCCGGCTTGCACGCCGGAGGAAAGACGGTCTCCCCTCTGCGGGGACATGGTACATCCCTTCCGACCGTTGCCCGCGGAGGTAGGCCGGTGCGCGCGCCCCCCAGCGGCGGCTGCGGGAATGGCGGCTGTTTTGTGCTGTGACTCTAGCCGAGGGTCTCTCACGCCACCCGCGCCGTTCCCCACCTCGTGCACCGGCGCCGCGTGGCTCTCCGCCATGTGAAGGTGGCCATGTTGGCTGGCCTGGGAGGCGGCTGTGCACGGCCCTTCATCATCCTACGCGGTTCCTTGCGGGGGACGAGAGATTCCGAGGGGCTCCGGCCCAGCTGTTAGTCATTTCTCGAATAACTTACCGCTCTGGTGAAATGGCTATAAAGCCGACTAACGGGAATGCTGTATTGTTTTTTAAACAATTGCCACTTGCCAGCTTCCCCTCCCCCCTCGCCTTGCTTCGTGGGACCCTTGGAGTCTAGAGCCTCTTGTGTCCTAAGTCTGACCTTGCTCGGCTTGGTTTTCCATGCTTCTGAGGGAAAAATGAATGTTGAATCAATCTTTTTCGGGAGAATATGGAAGGAGTGTGTGTGTGTGTGTGTGTGTGTGTGTGTGTGTGTGTGTGTGTGTTGGGGAGGGCGCTATCCAAGCCTTCAAATATGCTTTCAGTCTCTTGTCAAGGTCAAATGGCCTCGATTTCAGAACACTTTCCCTTTCAAACCTTTGCAGTTGTCTCAGTTTTTCCCATGAAAGGAATGAAAACGAAACAGTGAAATAAAACATACGCCAACAAAGAGTGGAGTCGGGAGCTGACTGCAGGCAGAGAGCCACTGTGAGACCAGTGTCACACTCTGCTGGACCAGCCTTAGGGCAAGCCTGGAGCTGTAATGGTGGCTGTGAGATCTATCATTTGTGAAGAACACGGCTTTTTAGAATGTTAGGGAACAGCCTGCTCCTATCATAAGGATGCTCTTGATACTGTGAAGCTGAACAACAGCCTCCAGCTGCTGGCGGCTCAGAAAATTAGGTACATTGTGAATAGCAAGGAGCCTTTCCCTGTAGGGTGTGTGCCAGTGGAAAGGTGGGAGTTTGAGAAAGGCACCGTGGGAAACAAAGGGAGCTCTTGGGCTGTGCTAGGAGCCTCAACAAAGAAGCTAGGGAAACAAGCTCATCTCCACGTCCAGGAGCACATCCCTGTGAGCAGCCTGACAAGTCACAAAAGAGACAATAGTTGGTTCTTATTTGTTGTTTTATTTTTCAAACTAGCTTCTCATGGGAAAGACTTTCATAATTTTTACTTGCTTTAGGGACTAAAGAGAGGGTTCAGCCATGAAGAATAACTCACCTCACAATGAGTAATAAAATTGCCAGCTAGTCCAAGATGCCTAGGTAGACTGGTCAGTGCATTATCTTCTGGCAGAAATAATCTATATGGAAGCCAGAAGATAATTAAAAAGTTCATTAATAGGGAGGCAGAGGAAGGGGATTGCATTCAGAGATTAGCTCATTGCATTCTGATCCTCCTTTGCGCCCGGCTCTACACCTGGCTCATCCTGCCAAGAGGATTAGACTCAGTTGTACACTATTAACTCCATCTTGCTCATAGGTCAACATAGGGGCCTTCCAGCTATGGCTTTGGTCATTCTTACAGAATAAGCAACCTCTACACCTCATCTTTAGCCTGGAAAGTTGGGTTAACAGTAGGAAATTTTTAGCACAGTGTCTAACATATAACAAGAATTTTTGTGTTTTGAAACAGGGTTTCTCTGTGTAACTGCCCTGGAACTTTGTAGACCAGGCTGGCCTTGAACTCATAGAGATCTGCCTGCCCACCCTCCCGAGTGCTGGGATTAAAAGTGTGTGCCACCACTGCCCGGCCTCTAACAGGTACTGCAAAAGCAGTGAATGATCTTTTACAGGTGTCTACTTGTTGGTGGGACAAAAGCTGACATTCTCTACATATTCTGTTTTGTTTTTTGAGACAGGGTCTCACTCTGCAGCCTGTGTTGGCCTGGAACTCACTGTGTAGCCCAGACTGGCCTAGAATTCATGACAAGCCTGCCCTGCCTCAAGAAGTTTTCTCGAGAGAGAAAACTTCAGGTGTGTTCCACCATGCTTGGCTAACGCCGAGCATACTCTCTTTAAAGATGGAGCGGGATGCTGCCTCTACTACTTCAAACCTCATCCTGTACAGCATTCCCCTCCATCGTCTCCTACTGTGAATAATCTCTTTTGCTAACAGTTCAAGTCGTCAACTGATGCATCAGAACAAGGACACATTTTCATCTTATGTTATTCACGTTGTCCGTTCCTTTCTTCTGTAAATATTTATGAGAACAACTGTTAAGATTCGCAGGTACTGACATGGAGACAGTCCTGGTTCTCTTCCTACTCCAGACTCTTAAAAATGGTGGTGCCTGGCACCCCCTTTCCGTGCCTCCCAGCTCCGCTTCTACTTCCTAGATGAAGCCTTCATTCACCTCCGAAGATTTCTCACAGGGTTCAGTCTTTACTCGTGCTGCTAAGTGCTCTTTGAAATTGCAGACTTGATGATTAGTTGATGGATGGCTCCAGTTCCCAGTTTGGTGCATAACCTCCATGGTAATAAGGTGTCTGTTTGCTGAGGCCTTGCTCTGAATGCAGCTCACAGGATGCTGGAGAGTGTCTAAAGGGGGAAAGGAACACCAAGTAGGGACATGAACCTTGGAGACCCAACCAGACCGATGGAAAGGGGCCTGCCTTGGCTTTGGGACCAGCTTTACAATTAATAAAATGGAGAGCCCTTAGCTAACAGAGAGGCACATGGCCATCCTGTTCTGGAGGGAGGATGAGATTTCTGATTTCATAATTAGTGCCCTGAGGGCAAAATAAAGCAGAAGTTATTTTTTAAAGTCATATTTAGCACTAATGAGATGTGTTGAATTTGAATTGTTATAAAGCACAGAGGGAAAATTTGAATCACTGCCCGAAGGCTCCATATTTCTCAACCCAGAGAATCTTAATGTATCAGGGAAACTGATGGAAGCTTTCAAAGACAGGGCTGGAAACTGGTGTTTGTTACCCATTCGGCAAAAAGAACAACCCAGGTCTTATGAGTCACATCAGTGTTGAATTAGGAGCGGAGGGGCTGCGTCCCCGGCACCCGGCTGCCCGCATGGCTAGCTTATGCCCGAAATAATTACACGGAAACTGTATTAAACACTGCCTGGCCCGTTATCTGTAGCCTCTTATTGGCTAGCTCTTACATATTGTTCTAACCCATTTCTAATATTCTGTGTAGCCCACAAGCTGGCTTACCAGGGAGGATCTTAACCTGCGTCTGTCTGGAGCGGGAGAATCATGGCGACTCTCTGACTCAGCTTCTTTTTCCCAGCATTCTCTTCTGTCTACTCCGCCTACCTAATTTTCTGTCCTATGAGGGCCGAGGCAGTTTCTTTATTATTAACCAATGAAAGCAACAGATAAGATACAAGACCCACCTCCATCACATCAGAGCTTCTGGGAGAGAGTTCTGGAAAGTGAGAGAAGACATTTACCTGGCACATGTACGTGTCGAGCTGGGCACTGTAATCCCAGCACTCCAGGGCTGAAGCAGGAAGATTGCTTCAGGTTCAAGGCTAACCAGTGCTACAGAACAAGAACAGATTAGGGTTCTATAGAGAAAAGAACAGATAGAATGAATATATATGATAATTATTGGATCCCTGGTTGCTGGGTTCCTCCACCAATGCAATAAACCAAATCAAACCAAATTAATAAATAGGGCAGTGCAAAGCAGAGCACTCCTGGGTGGCTAGCAGGAAGGCTGATAAGGTCTTAGATAGATGATAGGTGTGGTCCCAGGCGGCTGGGGAGTTGGAATTGCTGATGGAGGGCTTTCTCAGGGGTGGAGTCTGGAATGAGTTGGCTCCAGAGAGCTGTTGTGTGGTGTGCTGAGAGCAGGGGTCTGGAACACCCCCACCTAAGCTGGAGAATCCAAACAGTGTGTGTGTATACACATATATACACATACATACACACACACACACACATGAAATTTATTAGTGGCTTACAGGCTGTGGTCCAATGATTGCAGCCATGGCTGTCTGCTGAGGGAAAGTTCAAGAATCCAGTAGTTGTTTGGTCCATGAGGCTGGATGTCTCAGCTGGCGTTCAGTATGTGTCGGAATCCCAAAGAAGTAGTCTCTAAAGCCAGCGGAAGGGATGGACTAGTGAGGGCAAGCAGGCGAGGAGCAAGAGCTTCCTTCTTCCGTGTCCCTTATATGGGCTGCCACCAGGAGATGTGGCCCTGCAGTCAAGGAGCAAGAGCTTCCTTTTTCCATGTGCTGCCACTATACTGGCCACCACTAGAAGGGGTGACCCAGATTTAAGCTAGATCTTCCCACCTCAAATGATTGAATTGAGAAGAAAATCCCTCACGGGTGTACCTAGCATCTTGGGGTTTAGTTCATTCCAGATGTAGTCGAATTGACAATCAAGGATAGCCATCACACTGGCTCCCCAAAAGGAAAACAAAAAAGCTTGTCATGCAGCACACACTTGTCATTCCAGCACTTGGGATGAAGGTAGACAGGACGGTCGAGAGTTCCAGGCCAGCCTTCAGCCATAGTGAGCTTGAGATGAGCCTGGGCTGCAAGAGACTGTTTCAAACAAACAAACCAACCCGGCTGTTGGCTCATCACAAGGGAACAGGGTGCAAGAACAACAGTGAGTATGTGGGGATCACCAGGTGACAGACTGGGTAACTGAAGCTGAAATGCCAGAAAGCCTGAGGCTGCCAGCCTTCTGTGTAAGGACACGTCAGGGAGAAAGGAATCTATACCAGATGTCTCCAGAAGGGTGCCTGTCTTTTAGTCAGGTAGCTTCAGAAGCAAGCTAGCTCTAACAGGATCAGAAACAGGGATATAAATTCCCCCACTTATAAAATGTTTAAGTGTGTGTATTCTAGTCCAGCATTGAACCTGCT